ACAAGGATTAATTGTTAGTGTTCAAAAATTGAAATAAGTGTTCAACCCTACCTAAATCTCAAAATGACGAGAAAAATACCACTACTTATCACCTCATCCATCTTCTAATATAAATATTATCGGTTTACCAGACTCACTCCTTCTAAAGAAGATGCTACCGTTACTATAGTCTATTCTCGCACCACCGTTACTAGATAAGTTAGTTGAAGTTGTATCACAAATTTTATTTCTTGCATGTTAGCAATATATTGTTTTATTGGTTGCGTTTACCACAAAAACCATAATCTAATTATATTAAAACTAACTTCTATATATTAAATTTAAACTTTTTAGTCCTTCAATGGATTTGTGAGTCTCTTGTGTGTATTTAATTGTTCAGAAGTGAAAAAAATACTAAAATGACGAGAAAAGTAAACACTAGCATTTTATTTTATTTTTTTGTGCTCAAAATCGGTTCATTTTTTTGGGTATAAATTGATACCGAACCGAAACCGAACCGAGTTTTTGGTTACCGAATTTTCGGTAACCAACTTTAATCGATTCGGTATCGGTTTTGCATTCTGAGATTACCGACATTATCAGTACGGACCGCTACTTAATACGACTTTCAATCTGAGTAGTAAATGTAAATTTAGACTACTTTCCATACATTTTATAATTTGTACATAAAATAACTGGTTAACTTAAGTTGTAAAGATATTATAAAACATAATGGTTTTATATATGATATATCCACTAATTATATTTTAAAGACATTCTATTTGAAATATACATACATGAACAATAGATATAACAAAACTAACTAGAACAACACGGGGTGAACTGTTTTAAAGTTATTTACTCAGTTTTATTATTATATTCGTGAAAAAAAAAATAGAATAAAAAATAATATTATATATTATTAAAAAAACTCATTTTAGACAATATTTTTTGCTTGCCTTGTAGGTACGTCATCCTCCCCACAAACTAATATTTTCAAGCCCTTTTAATCAGTGACACAGGAAAACAGCTACATACAATCAGTGTGACTGAACATTAGCTTCCAATAATAGGCCAACATGTGATAAAGATTGACTCTAACTCTTGTTAATCGTCGTGACATATGAATCCATTAGGGGAAACTGCCTCTACTGAAATTTGAAAGGTACTCTCACGTCGGAAGGTGTCAGAGTCACATGAGGTATCAACACACTTTGTTTTGCATTAGATCATATCACTACCTTACATTCAAGCATGTGAGTAAAGAGTAGAGCTGTAAACGAGCCGAGCCGAGCTCGAGCTTAAGGTGTTTGAGGTTGAGCTCGAGCTCTTAACGAGCCGAGCCGAGCTTGGCTCGTTAAGTAAACGAGCCAAAAATCGAGCTCGAGCTCGGCTCGTTAAGGCCTCGAGCTCGAGTCTTAACGAGCCGATCTCGAGCTTTAACGAGCCGGACTATAAAAAATTACATAAATTTCACTTTTCGAGCCTTAACGAGCCTTATCGAGCCGAGCCGAGCTCGGCTCGTTAACCAAACGAGCTTTAAATGAGCTCGAGCTCGGCTCGTTAAGGGTTCGAACTCGAGCCGAACCGAGCTTTAACGAGCCGAGCTCGAGCCGAGCCGAGTCAGGCTCGTTTAATTTAACAGCACTAGTAAAGAGCTTTGTTACAACAAAACTCGTATCATTGTACAACCCAATTGAATGGTCAATGTTTAGCAACAAATTGCTACAACCCAATTATTGAAAATCATATTTTACGATGAATGAAAATTATGAAAGCTTTTTGTTAAAGAATAATTAATACTATATATAATGTCATTTTTATAAGATCTCATTGAAATTTTGGCTTCCAACTCCAATCATATATACCAAAAACATCAGCAGTATTATTTTTTTATATTTATCATACATGAAACATTAAATCCAAAGCTTACCAACAAAAAATGGAGACACACATTTACTTTAAAATAATCGGTCATATTATTGTTCAGATTTTTTATACCAAAAAAGTTGAGACACTCTTTATCATGAAAAAAATTGAGCAATGCATTTCACACAAAAAAATATTTCAAATGTCGTATCAACAAATGCATTAAATTAAGACCCACTGATTATACTAGTGTTTAAAAAACCGTACCGTACCGGCCGGTAATACCGGTATTAACGGTTACCGGCCTTAGGTACGGTACAAAAACACACAAAATACCGGATTTTCGGTAATACCGTTTTGTACCGGTATTGTACCGTAAATACCGGGAAAAACCGGTCCAAAATACCGGCCATGAAAAAAAAAATTAAAAAAAAAATAAAAAATATTTTTTTTTTTTAATTTAAAAATATAAAATTTAAATTGGTAGTTAGAATGTTTTATTTTATTTCATTGGTAAGTTAAAATTAATGATTATGATCATTTATTTTTTATTTTTTTTGTATTTGGTATTATATATTTTTATAAATAAATATATATATTATTATATTTGCTAGTCCGGTAATACCACCGATATTACCGGTCGTACCGGTAATACCGCGTACCGGTGGGTAGACCGGTATGGCCACCGGTACGGTATTTAAAACACTGGATTATACAAATAAAAAATTGACCAGAACATTTTCAATAAAAAATGCGGGCGTCGTTTTGAATCAATTATCTATTTGTTAGTTATTTTATTTATTATTGTTGTATATTCATATACATAATTTCACAATAAAAATACAAATGAATTTAAAATATTATGGTACGATATTAATATGTTTAAGTACTCGTGTAATACACTAATTGTGTCATACTAGTTATATAATAACCACCAAAAGATTACTTACCAAATATTGATGTAATGATTAAGACAAATTAGTTAGTCACAATATCACAATTATATGTTCACAAATGAAACATAAATACAGATTCAAATAGGAATACTTTTTAACCTTCCAAACTATGTCGATTTTTAGAGTTGCCTTACACTTTTTTTTTTTCTTGACAATTTGTCACCCATAGTAGTCAGAACTCCAAGGTATTGTCCGCTATCCAGCTTGCCAAAGTGAATTGGTTGGGCAGAATAGGCGAGCCCATTTGCCTCCTCGATTGAAAACCCTAATATGACACAATTTTGTTTTACTCTAACGATAAATTTTAAATTGATTTTTAAAATTGATTTAGGGTTTTTAAAGCCCATGGCGAGACGAACAAGATAATGTATGGTTTGTCGATTTCTGAAAATTGATACTTTTGTAATCGATCGACGAATATAATAGGGGCACGTATGTATAGAATAAACTTCAATTCAAGTTTTATGATAATCACTGTATCTAGTTTCGATTAAAATGTATCATTTGAAAGCTTGGAAGACGAGTTTTCTAAAGAAGTAAATCTTATGAAAATCTAGCGGGCGGATTTTGGTTAGTTGCCTAAAAATAAGCTAACTATTGATCAGTAGTTTTCTAAATACTGATCAAAGTGCGGCCGTAAAATTTCATAAGATTTACGCATTAGAAAATTAGTCCTGAAAGATTTAAAATGACACCTCCCAATCGAGAATCGAATATCTTGATAAAAAATATTGAATTGAATTTTTTTTTCTATAGACACGTGCTACTACTATCATCGTCGATTTGTTACATATGTATCAATTTTCAGAAATCGACAAATTATACCTCACTTTGTTCATCTCGCCATGGGCTTTAAAAGCCCTAAATCAATTTTAAAGATCAATTTAAAGTTTATCGTTAACTGAGTTAAAAACTTTTCATGTCATACTAGAGTTTTCAATCGAGGAGACAATTGTTTGTTTCGATTACTATGGGAGACAAATTGTCATGAAAAAAAAAAATCTGTAAGTCAAACTCTAAAAAGCGATATAGTTTGGGAGGTTAAAAACATTTTTCCCATTTAAATAAGGGTATAATCGGATATGGACTTGATCCAACAAAAACCAATTACTTTTAGTTGAATCACTTTTAAAAAAAAAAAAAAAAATTAAACTTTAACTCAACCTCATTATCCTCAATATTATTAATATAATTAAATAATATCAATCAATTATTATTACAAATAACATCAACTTTAATTCATTATTCATTTACAACCTACGTAATTTTCACTAACTATTATTTCACATAATCTCTATCTTACTTTTACATTAAATTAAATATTATTATATTATTTTAACATTAATTGAATATAAACTCAAAATTCCACTAATAATTAATCATACTTCATTTTTTAAAATTAATTATAATTCACAAAAAAAAAAAAATCAATCAAAATCAAATTAAATACATATCCATTTATATCCTTATCAGCCTTAGGGGGTGATTGTTTATGAATTCATTTAGTTTTTATTTGATTTGTTTTTAACTATATATGAATATAGTGTTTACAATATAAAAAAAACAATCAAAACTCAAATTTAACTCAACTTTAACCCAACTCCACTATTTCCATATTATCAATATAATAATATCAACCAATTATTTTTACACATTACATCAACTTTATATCACTATTCATCTACTCACATAATTTTAACTAACAATCACTTTCAAACATTTTTCTCATACTTTACATAAAATGAAATTTAATTATTTTATTTAAATATTATTTTAATATATCCATCAACAACTAACTGTACTATCTTTTTTTTTTTTAAAATTAACTACCGTTAAAAAAACATACCGAATAAAAACTAGTTTAAATCATAATCAATCACATCCTTTGTCACTCGTGTTTTTAAAATCCTCAATTCAAACCGAGATGATACGGTCTGGTTGGCTCTTCCCTCCAAAATAATATTATTTCCCACTAATTCTCACTGTCATTAACAGTCAAATCAGATAATCGTAATCTGTAATCAAGCTTTGGACTCACCACTAGCTTTTGGCATCATCTATCATCATCATCTCCTCACTTTTCCACAAACCCTAGACTTGAATTTGTGCGGCTTTTCGTGCAAATCCCCAATCATATAAATGCCGAGAGCGTGAATTGCTGCTGTACTTCCGAGCAAGCGATAATTCAGGTCTACCATGGCGGAGGCCATAGGAAAGAGAATTCTGGACAAAGGTTGGCTGGCAGCCCGATCAACAGAGGTTGGCTTCACCGGAGTTGAGCTCACCACCGACCACCCTCCAACAGCTCATCAACCGCCGTGGATGGAAGCTGTCGTTCCCGGAACGTAATTGTTTGTTATTTATAATTATTAAATTATTGTGACACGGACATTGTTTCTGTTGTTACCTTCATGTCTATAGTTGATTGGGTGCTTGCTTTAACATATTTGAAGGGACTGAATTTTCTGTTTTCGAGTGTCAATTGATTGTTGAATGGGGTTTTGTGAGCTGGTCAGTGAGCAGACACTGACGGTTTTACTTGTTTGTGGGCTCTGATTTAGTGTAGTTGATGTGACTCGTCAAATTAAGGGTCTGTGTTTTTTGATCTGTTTGGTTGTTTGCGTAACGAGGCGCTGAGGACACTGTTTTTTAATTTATTTGATGGTTTGATATGGAAAGCAAATGTGCGTGTTCAGCTGAATTGGAGGGTTTTTTTATTGTCAGTGTTCTGGCTACCCTAGTGAAGAACAAGCTCGTGCCTGATCCCTTTTATGGTTTGGAAAATGAGTCAATAATGGATATTGCCAACTCGGGGAGGGAATACTACACTTTCTGGTTTTTCACAAGTTTTGAATGCAAACTGGTATGTTGTACATGAGAGTTTCCACTTATTGAATCTGTTGAATATCTTCTAGTAAATTATTCCATCCATCATATTGATTATGTTGCATTTTGAATTAAAAACTTTCATGATGCAATTAGCTTAAACAATTATGGGCTAGGGCGTGAGCCAATGTTAGCGTGTTTTGACTGCTGGCACTCGGCAATTGCTCTTATGCATTTTATACCCACAACAATTGGAAATGCGAAAAATGAACAGTTTTTTGCTTGAGCTGTTTACTTTTATCTATTAGAGATTGTATTGCGCATAAATCTATTGAGAAAGACAAAGAGCTTGATAGGAAGTGATCGAGTGTATTTCTTTCCGTAATAATTATGTCACTCTTGCATGTGAGCATTATTTTCTTTTTCCTCCACCATTCATGTGCTAGAGACTAATTCAAACTCACCCTTTCCATCTCTTTACTCATACTTGCTCAACTCAATTGATACCAGGGTAGAAATCAACATGTGGATTTAAATTTCCGTGCTATAAATTATTATGCGGAAGTTTATCTTAATGGACACAAAGAGTTACTTCCAAAGGGGATGTTCCGAAGGCATTCCATTGATGTAAGTGATTTTCTAAATCGAAGCGGTGAAAATCTGCTGGCTGTTTTGATTTATCCTCCTGATCATCCGGGTAGAATTCCCCCTGAAGGTGGTCAAGGTGGTGATCATGAGGTATGATTTGATTCCACTGGGAGAAACATTTCCTTAATTCCTTTTGATTTTAAATTATTTAATTTATATTAAATTTGTTTTAAGTTTTTGGATCGATTTCGATGAAAAATGTAATTGAGTTAATAACTCGTGTATTTTTTTAATAACTTGTGTAATTGTAGTTGATCACATTGGATTTTTGTGCGAGATTTGAATGTGTCCTGAACCATGTTAATTTTACTTTTTTTTCAACAGAAACACTAGGAAAAAAAAGAACTCCCTTAGTAATATTTTGTTCACTTTTCATCACAGGGAAGGGGAAAGGGAAACATATATTTTTAATGACATTTAAGGGCTAACTGACATCGAAATCATATGTTTACTTAGAGAAGGTGAAGGTTAATTGACATCGAATACTGATTGGCTGGATGATATCTGTTTGATTACTTGTGGAAATAATTATTGATGAATGATATTATGTGTTTTACTGTCTGCACAGGCCACTACAAGCTTGTTTACCTTGATATGTTTGTCCTAAGTTCAGAATAATTTCGTTTTTCGTTGACTGGATTACTCTTAAAGACCAACTTTCTCTTCTATGGGTTGAGTAGTGACATTAACAAGAACTGGGGTATTCATATTTGATCAAATCAATGAGCAGCCCTATTTGTACAATCAGGGGTGCAGTACAACTATTTGCGCAAGGAATAATTATACACAATAACAGGAAATCTTATATATTTAGATGACTTGATATTGGAAGCAAACAAATCATATATCTTGTTCTCCAGATTTCTAATTGACTGAACACCTCGCCACAAGCTGTATGAGTAACTAATTTGTCTTTCACTCCAGCTTGCTTAGTACATTGCTTTTTTTGAACCCATCTGCCAGCTTGTTTATCATGGCACAGAAGATAATATAAACCAATTTTCATTATGAGTTGTGACTTCTCATTTATATTTCAAATGTTTCTCTCCGTGCCGTACTAAAACGTCAAATGTTTCAGAAGTATTTATTTACTACTCATTTGCTCTATATAATGTGATACACCTATATTTATCGTACACTATTTCCACCCCTCTACTTTTCGGATGGACCATGACACAGTTGAAGTCCTTCAGGCCTTTAGGTATTCAGGTTTTCTTTAATCATTGAGGTTAGACCAATGGACCTCAGTACTGGAGTATATTTACTGAATATGGATATTTGACATCACTTTACCATGAAATAAAACTATTTTTTTCGCATATAATATCATCACAAGGATGCTGTAGACAAATTGATCAGGGTTGTCGGTGTATTTTTATAATGAAAACTAAGGAAATGTTTTAACCTTATTGAATGTTTTACTGTTGAGTGTTGTTTATTGCTTTTTCTTGAGCCTCAGTTTTCAAATAACTTAGAATATGGCAACCTTTATGAACTACTGGGTTGAATCTCTCAATGTTGCTTCCAGATTGGAAAAGATGTTGCTGCACAGTATGTTGAAGGTTGGGACTGGATGGCTCCAATAAGGTGATTTTCTCACTATGCTACTTATTACATAGCCTGTTAATTCTGCCGAAGGTGAGTGCAAAGCTAATAAGCACATAAAGTATGTATGTTCTCCAGAAAAAGTAGAAAAGAAACCGAGATTTCTTTGTGGACATCCAAAGTAGGAGTCCAAAGGAAGAGAGAGAAATGTGTTTGATATTAGGGGCCATCTTAACTCAGGAATACCTTTAAATGAATTAACACAAAACAATTATTTCCACCATGACCTCCATAACCATGGTCAAGGTGGCGCCATTACAAATATGGTTGTCAATGCTGTACAATGCAACAAGAGTGATGGGAAAGAGTAAGGAGCCCCCAAACGGCCATGTTACTCCATAACTGTGAGAAATGGCTTTTCGACAATGTTGGAGAACTAACGTTGAAACATTTTGCAAGAGATAATCTCATATTCCACTATCAATAGTTTATTTTTTTTTTTCTTCCTTAGGATCATTTCTCAACATGTTATCGAACACTTGGAAATGAGGAAACTTGAGATCTTCCCTCTCCTTACGTCTCAAAATCAATTTGTTGACTCTACCAATCAGATGCCTTTTTAGTTTCCCATGAAAATAGAATAATTCTTATTCTTAACTTTGAAAACACCACACACACGAGAATATGGAAAGTGAGAAGACACTTCCTTTCTCATAATGGAAGAAGTGTAAATGAAGAATTTATTCTGTTCCATTTGGTCTCCAGGCTTCTTACAGTGTAAGATCTGCCAAGTTTAATGCTATGGCTTCTATAAAGCCTGTAAAATCCATTAGCTCTTTCTTTCAGATCCCATAATTCGCTATTGATTTGAAAAGATAGATTTTCAGGAATTAATGAATTTTATATTTGAGGAGCACCTTTAATACTAATTTACAATAACGTTAGAAAGATCTTTTGAACTTCTTTCAGGGACAGGAACACTGGCATCTGGGATGAGGTTTCCCTTACTGTTACTGGAGTAAGCTAAGCATACCATTGCATCAATTTTTTTCTCATGCCTCTTCTGATTTTCCTAGATTTCATTGGGCATATATTTTTTTACACATACTTTACTAAGTATGAAAAACACTAAGGCTTATACAAAGTTGTTTGGGTGTTTGAAAGTAGAAACAGTTCTGCAGTAAGGATCGGTATTCAGAGCCTTTAGTATGTTGTCTATACAATTATAGTTTTCTTTTCTTTTTTCATGTTCTATATTTTATTTCTTTAATCAAATGGCACACGCTTTGTACAGCCGGTGAAGATAGTAGATCCGCACTTAGTCTCATCATTTTTCGACAATTACAAGAGATCCTATCTTCACACAACACTCGAGTTGGTGAATAAGAGCAAAGAGGTCGCTAGCTGTTCTCTGAATATACAAGTGGGATCTGAACTTGATGGGAATATATTCGTGGTAGAGCATCTTCATACTCATCATTTGTCAATTCCTGCTGGATCTCATGTTCAACATACATTACCTGAGGTCAGTTACAATAATTTCTGTAGCTAGATTTTAAAGTATTTCCAACAATGCAAAGTAGATCTTCTATTTGTAAACCTATATTTTGGCCTGGCTTTCTTCAATATTGTTGCATAAAATTTCAAATAATTCCATGATCCAGCAATTGTTAGAAAAATAATGACCATGATGGTTCTGATGCTCATGGGCCAGAAATTGACTAGTTCCACTTCCTTTCTTTCCTTGCACTTCACATTCTCCGAGATTCTCTGACTTGAAGGAATTTTCTTACTGTTTCTGTTGATAATTTCTCTTAAGAGTTCCTTGTTAATAATGGATGGTGTATAACGTTTCAGATTTTAATACAAATTTTCTTAAGGGCCTCTCTGAATGGTGGACACCTTTTCTCTTCTATTTGCCTTTACAGCTATTCTTCTATAAACCCAAACTTTGGTGGCCAAATGGAATGGGAAAACAAATCCTATACAGCGTAGAAATAACTGTTGATGTTGAAGATCATGGAGAGTCTGATTCATGGAGTCAGCATTTTGGTTTCCGTAAGATTGAGAGCTACATAGATACAAGTACTGGTGGAAGGTATTATCGTCTTTTGTTGCCTGATTCAGATGTTAATCCTTGAGAACTAGATTGATCTTAACTTGTTTCTCGCAGGTTGTTTAAGGTCAATGGGCAGCCAATATTTATCCGTGGGGGCAATTGGATATTGTCGGACGGATTGCTGCGACTCTCCAAGAAACGCTATGAAACAGATATTAAATTTCATGCTGACATGAATTTCAACATGATACGTTGTTGGGGTGGTGGATTAGCTGAAAGACCCGAGTTTTATCATTACTGTGACATTTATGGTCTTCTGGTCTCTCTCCCTCTTTCTCATACTCTGATATATGATACTTGAACCTAATCTGGAGAAAGTAGACCAATCATCTAGTAATGATTTATATGTCAAGAGTTTTTACAGAGGCATATTCAAATATGATTTTTCTGGAGGATTAGATGACTGTTATGTATTGGAATGTAAATCCTCTTCATTGTAGAAAATTTATTCTTGAAGAATACCAAATAACTGTGGAACATAAAAATATTAGCATACGAGATAGTAGATTGTATACATAATTTTTACAATGAACTGTCACTTGTGATGGATTGTAAACTCATGAAATGATTTCGGGGGTTATTTTAGATAATATATCCGAGTTTGAATTAGAAAATACGTTTATTGGTTGCTAATATGTTAGCGCATAAGATAATAGATAGTAAAACTTGATTTGTTTCTTCAAATACAATTTTGATTCCTTATGTTAGCAATTGGTCCCAATATCTTCAATAAGTAAAAGCAGTGTGATGCTTTAAAGTTTTAGTACCTAAGTTGAATACTTCGTGTACTAGTTAGACATATGTGAATATTTGAATTTTGTTTTGTAGGTCTGGCAAGAATTTTGGATTACTGGAGATTGTGATGGTCGAGGTGATCCTGTGTCAAATCCCAATGGTCCCTTGGACCATGACCTTTTTCTGCTGTGTGCTAGAGACACAGTGAAGTTGCTAAGGAATCACCCGAGTCTTGCTCTGTGGGTTGGAGGTAACGAACAAACTCCTCCACGCGATATCAATGCAGCTCTAGAAGAGGATTTACGGCTTCATCCCCTTTTCGAAAGTTTTACCGACTGTAACAATTGCGTGGAAGAGATTTACCTAAAAATGAAGGACCCAAGCACATATTTGGATGGAAGTCGTGTTTACATTAAAGGATCCCTGTGGGACGGATTTGCTGATGGGAAAGGGAATTTTAAGGATGGTCCTTATGAAATCCAAAACCCTGAAAACTTCTTCAAGAACGACTTTTTCGATTATGGCTTCAATCCTGAGGTTGGTTCTGTGGGGATGCCTGTGGCGGCTACCATCCGGGCTACAATGCCCCGAGAGGGATGGCAGATTCCGCTATTCAAAACATTGCCTAGTGGTTATGTGCAGGAAGTCCCTAATCCTATATGGGACTACCATAAGTACATCCCTTACTCAAAGCCTGGATTGGTTCATGATCAGATTTTACTATATGGTGAACCAAAGGATCTCGATGACTTTTGTCTTAAGGTATTCTGCAACATTGTGATTCTGCAGCCTTTAGACTTTTTTTTTTTGGTTGTCGATTTACAACTGTCTATTTCAGGCACAATTGGTTAATTATATCCAATACAGAGCTCTCTTGGAGGGTTGGACCTCACGTATGTGGAGCAAATACACGGGTGTTTTGATTTGGAAAACTCAAAACCCTTGGACAGGTCTGAGGGGTCAGTTTTATGATCATCTCCTCGAGCAAACATCAGGGTTTTATGGGTGTCGTTGTGCTGCAGAACCAATTCATGTCCAGTTAAATCTAGCAACATATTTTGTGGAGGTAAAAACAATTCATATTTTCTTGTGTGTGCACTATGAGATCTTTAGTGGTGTCCATTGGATGTGTACTTCCAGTTGAAGCCTTTCTTAATTTTGTTTTCCTTTTCTTTTATTTTACTTTTGGGAAGAAGAATGATATGGGAATTTAACATTGAAAGTTGATTTGACGCGAAAAATAGTAGAACCACGATTGAATTTGTTCGCTACTTCAAAATACGAGCGGGCCATTTACTTTATTAGACCTGCTCACGTCACTCTACGTACACCAACCTTATTTTGTTTATACATTTTATTTTTCAATGAAAGTAACAAAGATATTGTGGGTGTATATATATGTAGGTAGTGAACACGACTTCAGAAGAACTATCTGATGTGGCAGTGGAAGTCTCGGTTTGGGATCTAGATGGCGCATGCCAGTACTATGAAATCCTCGAGAAGCTCACTGTACCACCTAAAAGCACTATATCCACTTCAGAGATGAAGTATCCAAAGTCTGATAACCCGAAACCCATTTACTTTCTTCTTCTCAAACTGTACAAAACCTCAGACAACGAGATAATATCACGAAACTTTTACTGGTTACATCTGCCCGGCGGAGATTACAATCTCTTGGACCCATACAAAAAAAACAAAGTTCCTTTGAAAGTTACCTCCTTAACTTTCATAAGAGGGTCCAGCTATGAGGTCAGAATGCTCATAGAAAATGCATCAAAGAAAAAACCAGATTCCAAAAGTCCGCTCCTAAATAACAATATCTTAAAATGTCCTCTCGAATTACCTTCATCTGAAGCTGCACAATGTGTGCCCGATGAAAAAGTGGAGTATGGGTTGTTCCCAAAGACGCTGAAGAAGTTTTTTACAAAAGGCAGTGGCGTGAAAGTGAAGGAAATCGATGGATCCGCAAGTGGAGTAGCGTTTTTTCTTCATCTGTCGGTCCATGATTCGGCGAAAGACGGTAAAGATGGTGATGACACTCGGATTTTGCCAGTTCATTATTCTGACAACTATTTCTCACTGGTACCAGGTGAGGTAATGAGCGTGAGACTAAATTTTGAGGTTCCTCAAGGAATCACGCCTCGTGTTATGATTCAAGGTTGGAATTACCCAGGTGGGCCTACTGTTCTCTAACTGCCAGCTGTGTGTATCTTTTACATATTACATATATGTATAAATGTATATTTATTCTTGTTCGTGAATATCCACAACCGAGATCCGACCAATTTCTGATGCCGGAGTAATTTTTCTTTTGAGTTCAATCCTTGCAACTTGGAATCTTTTCGAAGGTTGACTTGTGTGTGCAAGATGTACTGGAGTATTGTAAGCTGTAACTTCAGCAGTTTTAACACTTTTACATTGGAATGTTTTGAACTGGTGTTGTTTACTGTTGTGTATTCTGTAATCTGATAAAACATTTTACAGTGCCGTAACTTCCACCGGTGCATGCTGCTTGTTAAGATTGGATTTCAGTCTATTGATGATTACCCAGCACCAGGTTTTTTCTATTTGTTGCATGCTCTCCATAGTATATATATTGTCAGGTTAACTCTATTGCAATTTTTTTTTTCTTGTGGTAAATGTGACAGTGTTTTGTGATAACTAATGAGAGGATGTTGGCGCATTGTATGTATGTTTGTTTTTTTTTTTGTTGTTTCTTTTTTTAATGAAAGAATGAAGTGGTTGAAAATGTTAGTACAAATGAAAATTTATTAATATGATATATTTTTTAGCATGAAAAGATGTAACTGAAGAGCCGAATGTGGGCATTTTGAGCACGTGTTCGTTCGTTTATTTTTCGAGCAAAAAATTGTGTTCGAGCTTGTTCGTCAGGTTGAGCTTGTTCGTGTTTGAATAATTTAGGAAACAATTTTTCTTAAATATGATTGATTAACTTCAAAATTATTTGCTCCAACTCGGAAATAAAAAAAAAAATATAAATTTTAGATTTTTTTATTTAAAATATTGTGTAAATATATAAAAAAAATAAAGTTATATGAAACTAATGTTCACAAACATTATCAAACGTTCGCGAACGAGTTCGTTTTCGTCCGATTATTATAACGAGTCTAATTTTCTATTCGAGCTCGACTTGATAACAAACGAACGAGCTCTAATATTTGTTCCCGTACATTCTCGTTAACCCCTGGACAAATGCAGTTTTTTCCGAACTAAAAACCCCTGGACAAACAGCAACGCAGTAGCCAAACTCCATGTAAAAGACCTGCTTTTAAGCTCAAGGCACCTGTGCTAGTGTGCTGTACAGTGCACATAATCTAACAGCCAAAACACACAAAAACGCTTTGCAAATACACTACGCCATTATATATGGTACGTCTACATGAATGCCTTCCATAGACTCGGAAGGTTCACACAATACGTTTCCTCAAACACCGATCCAGACCACCTACGCCTCCTCCTATCTTCCTGCGCCAGACAAAACAATGTCCGCCTAGGTTCTTCTCTCCACGCCGCCATCATCAAGAGCCCTCCATCGTTTTCCACCAATCAGGAAACAGCCCATCTGATCTACAACTCCCTTCTCAATGTCTACTGCAAATCCGGCAGATTCCATGATGCCGTCAACCTGTTCAACAAAATGCCCCTTAGAGACACCGTGTCCTGGAACTCGCTCATCTCAGGCTTTTTCAGACACGGCCGCCTGCCGGTCGGATTCCGGTACTTCAAGAAGCTGTTGGGTTCTAGTATGGAAAGGTTCGATCACGCAACCCTAACCTCCGTGTTGTCTGCCTGTGGGGAAATCGAGTCGCTCGAGATGGTGAGTGTGCTTCACGCACTGGCAGTCTTGAGCGGTTACGAGAAGGAGACTACAGTCGGGAATGCCCTGATCACGTCCTATTTCCGGTGCCGGGCTTTCGGGTCGGGCCGTCGTGCTTTTGATGAGATGTCGGTGAGGAATGTGGTTACATGGACAGCCGCTGTCTCGGGTCTGGCCAAGAACGAGTTGTATGCAGAAAGCTTGGATCTTTTTGTGGATATGTGTACACATGGCACTGTTTCCCCAAACGCTCTCACCTATTTAGGTGCTCTCTCGGCATGCTCCGGGCTCCGGGCCCTGAACGAGGGTGCTAAGATTCACGGGGCCCTTTTAAAGTCAGGGCTCGACTCAGATTTACGCGTCGAGAGCACGTTAATGGACGTGTACTCTAAATGCGGGTGTTTGGAGGATGCGTGGCGGATATTCGACTCTGCTGAGGTCATCGATGAGGTGTCCGTGACTGTTATGCTCGTGGGTCTTGCTCAGAATGGGTTTGAAGAGGACGCGGTGCGGATGTTTGTGAAGACGATACGGGCCGGGCTGAATATTGACCCAGACATGATTTCTGCAATTCTTGGCGTATTTGGGCTCGGAACTTCTCACGGGGTGCAGATTCACTCTCTGGTTATCAAGAAAGGCTTCGGCTCGAATATCTTCGTCTGCAACAGCTTGATCAACATGTACTCGAGATGTGGGGAGCTGCAGGACTCGGTCAAGGTCTTTGACTGCATGCCCGAAAAAAATCAGGTCACGTGGAATTCCATAATTGCCGCCTTTGCCCGTCACGGGGAAGGCTCGAGAGTGCTCGTATTTTATGAAAAGATGACTTCTTCAGGCGTTATGCCAAGTGATGTTACATTTTTGTCCTTACTTCACGCTTGCAGTCATGTGGGGCTTCTGCATAAAGGCATGGAGTTCTTGCAATCCATGGAGGTTACTTACGGGCTGCGCCCTAGGATGGAGCATTATTCTTGTATGGTGGACGCGCTCGGACGGGCCGGGCTTCTGAGAGAGGCCCGGGATTTTATCTCGGGCCTGCCGGTGAAGCCCAACGCGCTCGTATGGCAGGCTTTGCTAGGGGCTTGCAGCATTTACAACGACGTTGATGTGGGGAAGTACGCGGCCGACTGGTTGGCCCGGGCCGAGCCCGACAGCCCGGTTCCGTTTGTTTCCATGGCCAACATTTACTCCTCCAATGGTCGGTGGAAAGAAAGGGCGTGTGCAATGAAGGAGATGAAGGAGAAAGGGGTGGCTAAAGAGATGGGAACAAGTTGGATCGAGATTGATCGAAAGGTTCATAATTTTGTGGTTGCAGATAGAATGCATCCGGGTGGTGACGATGTTTATGCAGTGGTGTTGGAGTTGTTTGGGCACATGAGGGATGAAGGTTGTGTTATGGATATTATTTCACCTTTCGATTGCCAGTAGAAGAAAATGGGTTTTTGACGTGCCGGTTAAGTTTGGCTGCAGTCGAACGAAGCAAAGCTTTGATTTTTTTTGGGTCGTGTTTGGGTTTTGTTAGTTTTGAGAATGTAAGATAAGGAGAAAATGAGTTCTTGACGTGCCGGTTAAGTTTGGCTGCATCGAAAGAAGCAAAGCTTCGATTTTCCTGGGTCGTGTTTGGGCTTTGTTAGTTTCGAGAATGCAAGATAAGGCCCCGTCTTGGTTTTCACTCCGGTGGGCACTTTCCGGTGGTGGTTCGGAAACTCATCCCATTTAAAGTTGGTCCAGTCGAGTTAGATGATTCTTGAGTTTTATATTCACCACAAAGCTGGAAAAAAAGTGAGATGTGAAAAGATATGTACTTTGCTTGACCTGTAGAAATGAAGCTATAGAGACGATGAATGGGACGGAAAACAGAGTTGAATGCCGTTTTACGAAAATTCTATGAAGTCAGATTTTTTGTTCCACCAGTTAATGTGTTGATACTTGATAATTCAAATTTATTACTCCTAATGCATCTTATTTTGGTTATATCTATCTAATTATGAATTTATAACTCACTTGTATTCGACTAAAGTATTGTGAGTTATTTTATGTATATAATGATTAATTATTTTTCTTTCACTTTTTTGTATGCCAAATTTACAAATAAAGAAGTTAAGATATTTACTTTTTTTTTTAAAAAAAAAATTGCGTTTATTTGATTGGATGTAATGTATATTTTGGTACATCTTTTTTTGAATTATTTATCATTTATTTAGGAATTTCAAATACGTTTTTAATTTAAAAAAAATAATAATTTAAATGTAACCACAATAATAACATCTAATCACATTGTACGATCAACACATTATATGGTCAGCTGTCACTAATAACAAGCTTAAAATAATTTTTGTAATTTTGATGTGATTAGTATTGATTATTTAATAATTAAATAAAAGATTAAACACCTAAAAAAGTAACGATTTTTAGAGGGAAAAATATTAAATTGCCACATAGGTAAAATTAATTAGGTTTTATTAAATACTAGTTTTTTACCCGTGCATTTGCACGGAAAGCTATATGATAAAGGAAAAAATAAAAAATGAAAACAATAGTATGCTTAATACCATGGTCATTGATAACTCGAGTTCAACAACAAAAATCTAAATCTAAATATTATTAAACACTTCTTTATATACAACGTTCGTGGTTTTCCTATCATCAAAATCTCCATCACCATAGATCATTATCTTCAGACCCCTTCGATTCGTGACTCTAGATAGTGCCACATACAACTGTCCATGACTGAAGACAAGGTTCTTCAATAGTAAGCCGACGTGTGAAAGTGACTGGCCTTGACTCTTGTTGATAGTCATAGCATATGAAACCATGAGCGGAAGTTGTCTGCGTTGAAATTTGAACGGTACTCTCAAATCGGATGGTATGATTGTGAGCCTAGGAATAAGAACCTTGTCACCAGCTCTGGCACCAGTTAAAATCTTGCATTCGAGGACATGGCTGCTGAGCTTAGTGATAACCAACCGTGTACCTGTTGACATCAAAACTCGGAAACAAAAGAATATCACTCAAATTTGTACAATGATAAAAAGAAATATAGACGACAAATGAATTTTAATGAACATAACCGTTACACAACCCCATGGAGTGATCAATGTTTCTGAGAAGCATCACTGGAGTGCCGACCTTAAGGTGCAGTTTAGGATTCGGAAGTCCAGAGCACTTGATCCCATTGAGAAATTCAGGACTGTGAAGATCCTGAAGAGAATCATATCCAGAATCTGACTTGCACGCGGTATCCGAACTCAAATAAGTCCTTCCCTCAGATGAGTTCATCGAGCTCATGTACTCGTTAATGGACTCAACCACATCAAGTGTGGGAGCGAGTATGGCTCTGTCCTTCAGGTAGCTAAGATCGTCATCTGCACTACTAAACATCGGGTAGGTACTCTCAACAATAGTACCAATAGGATCCCCTTGTGAGTGTAGAAGAATATCGTCGGGGATGTCGATATCGGCACAACCGTCGTTCGATCCACCGACTGTACCATCGCCGATGTTTGCAAGCCATTCAGAGAAGCACCTCAACTCATTGTACTCATCACCCCCACCAAGGCTTCGAAGCCTCATATTCCGAGTCAGTCTCAGAACGATACAATCGCGCCACAACTTGAATGAATTGATGGTGGCGTTAACTATGTCGCTCCGACTGCCTTTAGGGACAACGGGCAGTATCTGTCTGAAATCCCCACCTAACACAACACACTTGCCGCCAAATGGGATATTTTTCCTCAATGGATCAACTGCTTCCATTAAGGCACGCAAGGTGTTGTCAACTGCCTGGAAGCAATATTTGTTCATCATCGGAGCTTCATCCCAAGTGATCAACCGACATCGTATGATGAGTTCGGCCAAAGGACTCTACTGACTAATATCACATGTAGAGCCTTCCACTAAATTAAGTGGGATTTTGAATCGTGAATGCGCAGTTCGTCCACCGGGCAACAAAAGTGATGCGATACCGCTCGATGCAACGTTCAACACAATCTCACCTTTGGATCTCAAAGCAGAAGATAACGCCCTCCAGACATACGTTTTACCGGTGCCGCCGTAACCATAAACAAAAAACATGCGGCCGTAGGTACGGTAAACAGAGTCCATTATCGAGCCATAAACATTGCGCTGCTCATCAGTCATATTAGCAACCAACTCCTGATTCTCAATAGCGAGTGCACGACGATCGTAATTCAACTCGTCCATCACCATTCTGTTCGTGGATGCCTCATTACGATCGAGATTAGGGAAAGGCATTGTACTGTAATAGCGTAGAGTCGAACCACGTCTGCGCAAAATTTTTTCAACCTCCACCAATGCCAGATTCTTTACTTCATCATCGCTCAAAACCAATTCTGTAACAACAGTATAGAAGATTATAAATATAAAGAGATACTTCATGAAGGAAGAAAAAATAAAAACATAAGTATGTGACCGTAATTGATTTGTTTACCTGGATGCTGTAAAAGCCTCCGACGATTATATAATATATCATCCGAGAGGTAAGGCCAACATGCTTCCCACACAAACTCCGGTCGACCGAGAGTATCAGAAGACAACAAAGTAGCAAAAAGGTTTCTCAACGAAATGGCACTCGACCACTGGCTTTCCTCGATAATCCCTTCAATGTACTCTTTGTCGTCCTCAACCAGACCGAGGGAAAAACACGCGTCACGGTAAGAATCGTGTTGTACTCCATCCAACTTCATATAGTCACGATGACACGTTGCACCTCGAACAACGTTGATAAGACACCGCAAGTAATATATGTCACCAGCACCAGGGGGGACGAAGTACAAACGCGCGATACGGTCACTTCCTTTCCTAGGCTCCCAACTGTTGGTTTCCGAGTGCCACGTAAATTTGGTGGGAGCCTCAACATATGTCAGTTTCCTGGCTTCGGGATACTTCTTGTTCGCTTCCATCCAAGCTACTTATTTCAACAGCAAATAAAAGGAACCTCCTTCTTTTAAATTCTTCTCAATCTACTTAGAATTTTAGTAGGACTCTCAATCCGTTTCCTACTGAAACTCACGCACATAGTTTTCAACATCTATAAAAAGGGCTATTTGGCTTTTATTTTTCTCCACATCTGAAGGCCAACAGGTACTGCTTCAGCCTTTCTTTCTTTCTTTTTTTTTTTTTCCTGTTCCGTTCATAGAAATTGCTTCTGCTGCTTGTGAAGATTTTTTTTTTTTGGCAGGCTATAGCATAGGCTTCTTAGAAATCTGTCGCCCAGATTCCGACCACAAAGTGCTCGATCAATTGCCGAAGAGGTACCAACATGTTATTCTTCTCCTATTCTTTCTTTGTTTCTTTCTTTTTCTGTTACGTTGGTGCCGCAGCACACTATTCGGGCGGAAACAAATCAGTTCGGTCGCCTTCATATTGAAACGAGGCTCTTCGAGTGATGTTCGGGTTGAAACGAAGCAATTCGGGAGCTGTCCGGACTCCACATGGGCTGTTCGGGATAAATTGAGGTCGTTCGAGGGCTGTCCGAGCTGAATCGGAGCTATTGGGGTGCTGTCCGGACTCCACGTGGGCTGTTCGGGATGAATTGAGGTCGTTCGAGGGCTGTCCGGGCTGAAACGAAGCTATTGGGGTGCTGTCCGGACTCCATGTGGGCTGTTCGGGATGAATTGAGGTCGTTCGAGGGCTGTCCGGGCTGAAACGAAGCTATTCGGGCTGCCCGGGCTTCCTTTATTTATGAAGATGATTAATTTTTTTTTTTTTTTTTTTT